AGCAATTTGAGGGGTAAATTTAGAATTATAATGATTTGGTGGGCAGATTTAGAAATATCATCAATGTGGAGGATATACCCTAAAAACCCCTATAATTTTAATATTTCAAATTTTTAAATATTTTCATTTATATCAACATTCATTTATATGCTTGAATTTTTTTTCACAGGTGGACGGGATCATGCACGCATCACGTGCAATTGGAGTACTAGTATTATGTATTAGACGATATTATTATTTGTAGGGGAAACATGATATTTTATGCGACAATCTATGTGTTTGATGTTTCTTTATTGTGACCTAGGATGTTTATTTTGATTATAAGTTATTGTGTGGAGTTTGGACATCTGTATTGTGGAAAATGGATTTTTCGTTTGTGTTTGATCTTTGGAATACAATGTATATTGGTTGGATTTGGCACTGGAATGGAATAAGTATTGATTGGTATGTATTGTACATTGATTAACGGAATTTGTTCGAATGTATATTCATTTATATGAGATTTATTAGATGTGAAAATGATATCGCAGATGATATTAATTATATTTTTAGGGGGGATGAAAATTTAAAATTTTTCTTAAAGAATGAAATCATCCCAAACGAAAATTCTGTCAAGAATACATTCTGGATGAGAATTCCGTCTAAGTTGTTATAAAACATTCTAGATGGAATTTCCATCAAGGATGCATCCTATATGAAATTTCTATCTAGGATGTATCCTAGATGGATTTAGGATATATACTAAACGGTTAGTTGATTCCATCTAGGATAGTCTTTCTAGATGGAATTTTATCTAGAAAGCGCCATCTTATATGGAAACTTACTACACCAACATCCTAGATAGAATTCTGCCTAGGATGGTTAACTTAGATGGAATTGTACTTATTCTAAACAAAATTTTTCATCTAGAATGCGCTATTTTTTACCAGTGTACACATACAGACTCCTCTGAAAGATGAATATATATAATGAATGGGGAGTGGAGATCAAATTACCCAATTCTAATGGTCACAAGCTGATTGTCAATTGAACTAATTTATACTATACATAAAATTCCTCCATGTGATAACTAGGCTAAACCTTTTAAAACTATTCTCAAACTGCTACACCTAAAGTTTTGGGGTCTTAATAAATCATCAATCTTGATAACAATTCAAATAAGAAGAACCCTACGTTTTTGTGAGTAGCACTATAGGAGTAGTTTGAAAATTGTACTCTAGTTATAATTATCTTTTAGCTTGTAAGCCATATTTTTGGAATACTAGAAATGTCGTGGCACTTGGAAAAAAAATACAAAAATGCGCTTACACATTGGAAAAATCAATTGAAATACTTTCACAATTAGAAGATTCTAATAGATCACTTATTCTCATAGTAATTATTCAACTATATATGACAGTCATTCATGTTATATGTCATGCAAGCATCACGCGTATCAACATAGTAATAAACTCTAGCTAAAGTGAAATCACAACTTAAAAGGATTTAGAGGATTTCTTTTAAGGTTCCATCTTCTGACGGCCTATCTATCTATACTACATATAAAAGATTGCCTTATCAAAACTTTTAATTTTTATTTTTGCCCTTTTAAGTTTGACAATTCTCAAATATGTTATTAGTTGCAATTAATCATTCACTAATTATATATAACCTCTTATTAGCTATATAGTTTCTCATTTTTCAAAACCTTTAGTCACACTATTATTTTATTATTTAATTATAATATTTAATTTAAAATTTAAAATTTATCCCTGATTTATCTTCACATAATATTTAAAATTCTAAAAAATAAAAATAAATAAAAATTTATTAGGCTTATGCCTTACACCTTTTAGTTTCAGCTCTTATGGAGGACTACCTGTTACCTTGCATTTTATTAGCCTTTTAAAAATACGATAATAGTATAAAAATAATTTGTATTTATAATAATTATAATAATATTGATAGTAAAATAATTTTAATAGTATTTTTAAATTAATAAATTACACTATAATTTAATAATTATACAATTTAGTAAATTATTTACTAATAGTGTAATAAACTATTATTAAATTTAAATGTAGTTACTAATAGTATTAAAATTATCCCAAGTATAGTATTATTATATTTAAAAGAGTAGAAACTATTTACATTATAATTATTTTAATAAATTATAAATAAATTATAATAATTATCCAAATTATAATAATTAATTATATAGTTATTTATACATAATTTTATCATACAATTTATTCATTTAAATAAAATTATAATTATTCAGAATTTATATTGCTCTATAAATTATTTTATTTTTTTATAGCAAAAAAAATTTAAAATATAAAATATAATATGTATGATCTCATGCAAAGCACGTACACTATACTAGTTTTTTTAAAATAAGCATGAGACCAACACCAAAAATACCCATTTTTCATTTTCATCATAGAAAGAGATGACGAAAATGGAAGTCCGCGCTTTGAGAAGTCAACACTTTTCACTACTTCATTGGCTAATACTAGATGATAACCATAAATCAAATGGTGCAATAAGCTAGCAAGCCAATGATACTATTAGAATATTAAATTGAGATTATGTTAAAGTAATTTCTCTTCAAGCAATCAAACTCGATATTGTTGCTTCAAGCACTACAAAGATTAATTGTACGTCAGTTTGATATGGGTTCATTTTTTTTCTAGGAGAGGACAATCATAGTTAATACGGATGACCCCACAAGTACATACTTTAGATTATCTAAAAATAAAAGGTAAAAATTAAAAAAGAAATCAATAAGGGTTGAATTACATATGTCTATGTCTATATACTCACTTCCATTATCCATTTTAAGCATGCTTCAAAACTCATGTGAACATTCGTTATTTATATGTAATAAATTGTGAATATTTAATATGATTTTTAACTTTTAAAAGTGGAGATCTAGCAATTAGCTCGTGGAGAGATATTATCGCAATATTTTATTAGTGATCTTCTCTTTGCTTCGTTGCATGTATAAGGGATGGATTCGTCTGCTTGCAATGGATAGTAAAACATATTTACATGAAATTTCAATCAAATTTTATTTGGTTGTACATAAATTTTAGGGAAAAATGTGTTCAGGCCTCAAAAACAGAAACTTCATGTGACGAGACCTCTTGTATTGTGTTCCATGTGGATAAATCCCAAATACACACAGTATTTGTGATGAGGCCCCAAAGTACCGTTTTTCAAAAAAAGCCTAGTGAAAGTTACGAACTTACCCCTTTGATGGGACTGAACTCGGTTACTTCGCCCCTCCCTATTCAAGTACCCTCTTCCTCTTCCCCCTCTCTTCCACGGCTGAGGAGCCACCGAAACTCTTGAAATTTCAATTTTCTCATCGGATTTCAACAGTCCTTGGGTTTTCGCCAGAAAAATGTTGTCCAGGGAAGCAGAATCCGTTAACGACTACAAAGTCATTCATCGCGGTTCATCTGGGCTTGGCAGCACGGAGGAAGCCACTCAAACCCTTATGAAAATGCAAAGGCGGGCAGTAGAATGGCGAGACCGGAAAAGAAGAACGGCAATGGATGGCCGTATCAACGAACACTCCCCAAAAAAGCAGTATGTGCTATGTTATCCAGGATTTGGGGACTCGACCTAATTTCCCCTAATTTTAGTTCATCTTAAACAATGCTAGGGTTTACCACAGTCTATTTTAGTTCTAGTTCGAGTCCATGTTAGTTCTAAATATCTATTAGTGTTAGGTCTAATTTATGCCATGTTAGGTCTAATTGAACTTGCAAATTCGAATTTTTTTTACAGGAAAAAAGTTGCTGATACTGATGCGGGCGAATCAATAAGGCTAACCGCTAATATCGGGGCATATTGGGAATTCATGAAGCGTATTGCCATAAAGATATGTCAGTGGCATAAGGATACATACTGCAGATCTATACTTGAGCACTATATATTATTTGGGGTTCTTGCGCCTGATCGCCCCACACATGAATTGCTGCTGAGCTATTACGATAGCGCTAGTGACATATTTTCTATCACTGATTCAAAAACTAGGGGAGTAAAAAGTGTTAAATTTGATTTACAATGGGTCCATAACCATACTTATTTCCTAATTCATGGGAACTCATAAGTATCAATCGGGACTCAAGAAACAGAATCTGGGTGGAATACTTCGCTAATCTTTTCAAAACTGAAGAGGGGAAGAAGTTAAAAAAGCAACAATCACCCATCGAAGATACCTTGAAGGGCAACTTGAAAGGCTCGTGGAATCTACAAAAAAGCAAGATATCCAAGACTTTATTCTGCTACAAATTTTATACCAATGCTCCATGTATGGTACCCCAGAAGCGGGGAAGGTATCCCTAGACCTGTACTCAGGTACCTAGATAGTATTGAGATGGTCAAAGGAGTTGCTTGGGCCTAATTCTCTTATTCAGAAATTACCAGGGACATTAGAGTTGCTTTGGAGGGCAAGAAGAAGCCATGGGTCACATATGTCCGAGGTTGCATGACACTACTGTGTGTAAGTTCCATGTTTTACTTACTTTGGTTTATTCTAGTTCTAATTTATGCCATGTTAGTTCTAGTTTACACCATATTAGTTCTAATTTACACCATGTTAGTTTTAGTTTACACCATGTTAGCTCTAATTTAAGCTATGTTAGTTTTAATTTATACCATGTTAGTTCTAGCTATACCCATGTTAGTTCTAACAGAAATCATGTTAGTTCTACATGGGTTCATGTTGGTTCTAACATAAATCATGGTAGTTCTAATTTATTCCATGTTAGTCCTAATTTACACCATGTTAGTACTAGCTACACCCATGTTTTACTTACTTTGGTATAGTCTAGTTCTAATTTATGCATTGTTAGTTCTAATTTGAATGCTTAATGTATTTACTATAGCTTTGGTTCTAGTAGATGATGGGCATAAAGTGTAATGACCGTGAAATTTTAATACTAATTAAAATAATTTTTTAGTATTTTAAAATATTTAATTATTATTTTTAAAATAGTAATTGTATTTTTCTTGATTTTCTGTAATTTTCTATGATTTAAAAATATGATTATATATTTATTTAAATGATTTTGATATTGTAATTGTCCCATAATTATTTGATTTTAAATGTAAGTAAATATATTTTTATTATTAATTATTCTTGTTTAATTATATAATATGGGTATTTTTCAACTATTTTGTATCAAATGTTGTATTAGCTTAATATGTACGTTTTTAATTGTAGATAATTATTCCGTAATTGGTTTAATTTTTTAATACCCATAACTAATTATTTTAATTATTTTTGTTTAAATACCTAACTCAAAACCCTAATTTCTTATATATATATGTGTGTGCGTTTTCTTTGTTCTCTTCTCTCCTCTCCGTGTTTTCACGCCGCCACCCCCAACAGCATCTCCTTCTTCCTCTCTC